ACGAGATGTCTGTGCGCAGTCCTTGGCGCGGTCTGTGCTTCCTGTGGAATTTAGAAGCCTCCCAAGGAGGTGATCGAGGGCCTAATCTCTGCGTGGCCTGGTCAACTGATGTGCTTGCAGCTGTGCTGTAACAAAATCTTTTTTCTTTTTCTTTTTTTTTTTGTTTTAATTGCCTGTTAGCCCCCTGCCGTCGTACTGCAACATGACAGACATTTTCTGAAGTGGCTGCAACTCCTGTTTTCTTAAGGCGTTGGGAATGCATCTTGGAGGGGAGGTTCTGTTGCGATTACCAAAGCTGTTCACTAAATGTGTTGTGTCTGCAATATCTAAGTCATTTCACAGCTCGCCTACGATACAATGGGCTAGCTGAAATCTTGGCCTAAAGGCAGTGCTGCAGGCAAGCTCAGAGGGTCGCTGACCTCCTGAACACGGGTGTCTTCCAAAGGGTATTCTTACTTTGTGCTCACAAGTCCTGCGTTCTTAAGCCCTCTAGGGCATGGTTACCAATCTTGGCTGGTGCAGACCCCGTTGTAGCCTTTGATTGTTGAGTGTCGTGGATTCGTTGGTGTCCAGCGCGCTACACTGCCGGCTCTGGTAGCTCTACCTACTTCTTGAAGCTTCGTCCTGTGGTCCACTCTTATTTATGCTGTCAGTAGGATTGAAAGCCTTAACTTTCTGATAGCTGAAGATTACTTCTCTCTGGACTGTTTATGCAAGCTTTACGTCAGTAATTGCATACTCTAATTTCTCCTGGCTTTCAGAGATTTAGCCTTGATTTATTCTCCCCCTTCCCCATCCTCCCTAAGAGAATCAGTATGTTTAAAGCAAAAAAATAATTCTGAAGTGATGCATCATTATACGTGTATTTAAAGGGAGGAAAATTTTTGTTTGTGTTTTTGACCTCCAGGGCAATGTTCACAGGCGGGATGAGAGAAGCCAGCCAAGATGTGATTGAACTGAAAGGTGTATCTGCAAAAGGACTGAAGCACATAATAGACTTTGCGTACAGCGCTGAGGTGACTCTTGATCTTGACTGTATTCAGGATGTGCTGGGAGCTGCTGTCTTCCTCCAGATGGTGCCCGTCGTGGAGCTTTGCGAAGAATTTCTGAAGTCTGCCATGAGCGTAGAAACGTGTCTCAATATCGGGCAGATGGCCACCACCTTTAGCCTCTCATCCTTGAAGGAATCAGTGGATGCATTCACTTTCAGGCATTTCCTCCAGATCTCCGAGGAAGAGGATTTCCGGTTTCCCCCCCCCTGCCGCTGGAGCGCCTTGTTTTCTTCTTGCAGAGCAATAAGCTGAAAAGCTGCAGTGAGATAGACCTCTTCCGTGCTGCCGTCCGCTGGCTGCAGTATGACCCAACCCGCCGCGCCAATGCCAGCCAGGTCCTCTGCCACATCCGCTTCCCGCTGATGAAGTCCTCGGAGCTGGTGGACAGCGTCCAGACCTTGGACATCATGGTGGAAGACGTCTTGTGCCGGCAGTATTTGCTGGAAGCGTTCAATTACCAGATCCTGCCCTTTCGCCAGCATGAGATGCAGTCCCCTCGGACCACCATCCGCTCGGACGTCCTGTCCCTCATCACCTTCGGCGGCACGCCCTACACCGATAACGACCGCACGGTGAGCTGCAAAGTCTACTACCTGCCGGATGCCAGCGGGCGCCAGTTTAAGGAGCTGACGGAAATGGAGGTGGGCAGCAGCCACTCCTGCGTGGCCGTGCTCGACAACTTTGTCTACATCGTAGGAGGGCAGCACCTGCAGTACCGGAGCGGCGAGGGAGCGGTGGATATCTGCTACCGTTACGATCCGCACCTGAACCAGTGGCTGCGCATCCAGGCCATGCAGGAGAGCAGGATCCAGTTCCAACTCAACGTCCTCCACGGCATGGTGTACGCCACCGGTGGGAGGAACCGCTCGGGGAGCTTGGCCTCCGTAGAGAAGTATTGCCCCAAAAATAACGAGTGGACTTACGTGTGCTCCCTGAAACGCAGGACGTGGGGGCATGCCGGAGCCACGGTAGGAGACAAGTTGTACATCTCAGGTGGGTATGGCATCTCGGTGGAAGACAAAAAAGCCCTGCACTGTTACGACCCCGCCGTGGATCAGTGGGAGTTTAAAACCCCCATGAACGAACCCCGAGTTCTGCATGCTATGGTCAGTGCAAATAATAGGATTTACGCTCTGGGAGGCCGCATGGACCATGTTGACCGTTGTTTTGATGTTCTGGCTGTGGAATATTACGTGCCTGAAACAGACCAATGGACAACGGTGAGCCCTATGCGTGCAGGTCAGTCGGAAGCTGGCTGTTGTTTACTAGAAAAAAAGATTTATATCGTAGGAGGGTACAATTGGCATCTGAACAATGTTACCAGCATTGTGCAGGTGTATAACACAGAAACTGATGAATGGGAAAGGGACCTCCATTTTCCAGAATCTTTCGCTGGGATAGCGTGTGCTCCTGTTATCCTCCCGCAGGTAACGACCCAGAGATAACTGTGCCCGACGGCGTCAGCCCGTGAGATCGCCTCGTGTTGCATGTTATCAGGATGCTGTGTTGTTCCTTTGTTGTTTGCAAATGGTATTGTGCATTTTGTGGGTGAGGGAAGGAGAAAAATAGCTTGTGTTCCCTCCTCCATAAAGTCCCTCCTCCTCTTATGTAGTGTTCTGGCAAGCGTGTTTCATCAGAAGCACTTGTCAGCTAGTTAGACTTAACAGATGTTACAGCTGGAAAAAGCTTTTCTCTTTTTTTTCTTTTCTTTTTTTTTGATGGGGGGTGCATCTTCACACAGAACCACCGACTTTTCATCTTTTTAACAACATTACGCATTGCAAACATTGACAGCTCAGGAGTAACTAAGTACTGTGGTAAGTTTAAAAGAGTTCAGGTGTGATTTTTATTAATAGCTCCAACAAATCATTGTATGTCACTTTGTTGTTTTTTAGCAAACAATAAAACCAAAACCTGTATAACAGACTGACCTCCAGAAGCAATAAAGGGACAGTGGGAGCTAGAAGAGCTCAGGTGCTTGGGTTATGAAAGCATATTCTTGCTTTCCAAAGGTGACTTTTTTTTTTTCCCTCCCTCCTAAAAGGGGAATACTTACCCCTGCACACCTCTGGTCTCCGTTGGTTCTTCATTGCTTGGATTATACTGCAGTCCCAGATCGCTTCCTCACCCCTCCAGGTCGCAGCATGATACTTTACTCCAGAAATTCTCCCTTAATTGGGGCATCCAGAGTTTGCGACACTAAAGCCATGTTGATAGCTTGATTACATATAAACGGGCGTGATTTTTTTTGTAACTGCCAAAAATTTGTTTGGCTTCACTGGCAATAAGAGCTCTGGAACTGTTTGCCTGGGCTGAGCCGCTAAAGCAGAGAGCAGCCGGCGGTTCTGGTTTAGGACCCCGCTGCCTTTGTCTTTCCGATCGCTCCACCGATACGTGTTCACCCCAAGTCTTTTTGTACAGTAAAGGTTCATAAGCTTGAAGGTTTTCTCCCTTGACTTGTAAATGAGGTACTTGGCATCGTAATATGGTAGAAATCTAAGTGGATTGGGTTTTTTTGTTGTTGTTGTTGCCAGTGGGTATTTCAAATGAAGAGATTCGTTTTAAGATGACACTGTCATTTTTGTAAAATCTGTGTTTACTGCACAGAATACTGTTACTTCCTGAACTTCCCTTTCCTCCAAGCCATTTTTTCTAATTAATTTGACCGATTAATGAATCGAAAGTTTCTCCTTTTATCAGGTATTCTGTTTCAAGGGCTTTGTTTTGTATCTGTGTAAGTTTGAGTTTGATGGACGCAGTCTTCTTTTTAGAGAAACTGTTGCATTCTGCTGTTAAATAAATACTGTGCTGTAACCCTTAGAGACAATATATAATGTCTGTTTTGCTGATGAATCATTGAGCAGGTCTGTGTAAAGCATGAACTCCGTACCTCAGATTCACTTAAGGATATTTTTCTCTAATAATGAAATCAAAGCACCTTTGGGTGCGATACGGTGGGGGCACATGCTCTCTCAGTTAAGCTCTGCATTCTAAATTTTAGATAAAACGATGCGTAGTTTCATCTGTTCCTACCTATTTGCTGATTTGCCAATAATAAATTAATGAAAAGTACTTGTTGTTGTATAGTGTGCTAGAGTCAGTGGGCAAGCTCCGCTTTCGAGCTCTTAGGCAGTTAATTTACTCCATTCTCTGTTCATTTGGTCTGGCATAGAAGCTAGAAGCGCTGCAGAACAGCCTTGGCAGATAACAAGCAAATTTTGAGAAGATGAAATGTAATTCGATACAAGCTTCAAAGTTACAAAATAATGGATTTTCTTTTTTTTTTTTTACTGCTTCCATATGTTTATGAAAAGGGTACTTTCTGAGGTTGGTAACAAATGGAAGGTTACTTGCTTTCCTATTTACAGAATATGATTAATCCTCTTAAAAGTATGTCATTCCTTCATCAGTGCCTTCCTAAAATACTGAAGTATTCTTCCCTATTTTATTTAAATTTTCCTACCAAAAGGATTTCTATGGCAGCAATTGATGGTTTGGGTGTTCTCTAATAACTGAGTTTTTCTGAACGTGCAGCTGTAGTGCTCATAAGCCGCACCACATCAGATGGCTGGAGAACCCATGCGATCACCATAGTTGGCATCTCTTCATAAGGAAACCGTGCTTTATTTTTCACTTCCAGCTTCTAAGGTACGTGTGTGCGTTGGGTGGGTAAAGGAGGGGGAGGGGGAAATCCTTGGAAAAATGAAAAAGCGTCTTTGGTCTCACTTTTAAGGTCAATCTTGCAAAAATAAACTTACCCTCTGTATTCATTCCTGTCGGAACGGTGGCAGTGCAGATAGGAGGGTACACAAAGCCATAAGTGACTGTATTTAATAAACAGACGGGCTGTTGCCGGCCGTGCAGCACACCAGCCTGGTACCCGCGTTCCCGTTCCCTGGCGCTGCGGAGCGGGAGCTGGGAAAGGTTTCCAGCTTCTTTCACCGAGACTTGCGACAGAGCGCTGCTGTGCACCCCCTCTCTTTGTAACCGGAATGTTCTTTTTGTAGCAATATAAATAACGATTTTTCATAACGTTAGCTAGAAATATTCTAGCGGTTCTAAATTTAGCAGGGACTGGCTAAAATGTTTGTGGAAGTGCGTATCATCCAGATTGATAATAAAGTTTGTTTTACCCCCGTGAAGTATGTGGTTGTGGCTCTGGGCTGTTCTGTGCATAACCTGTCCGTTATTCTGAAAATAAACAGGTTTGATTCTTTTGCTGTATCGCAACAACTGGCCTGAGGGTCTTCACGTAGATACCGAAGGGATCGTGCTCCACGGCTGGGTTGGAGAAAACGCTTTGCAGGATGCCCCACGTGAAGAGCAAGTGGACTGGGCTCCTCTCCTCTTCAAGAATGAGCAAAGCCAGATAAATGTTTGATTGAGCTCGGAGTCATTTATTAGTCTCAGAGCAGCCATAAACGTTATAGGGGTAAACCTGATTTGGTACATTTTAAAATACCCTTGAACAGATGGGGAACAGTAAAAGCCCAACGTCATTAGTTCTAGGTATTTGCAGAGTATGCATGTCCCATTAGGGACTGCCGTCATGGCCAGCGTAATAGCTTCTGTCTTCTCTGATGTTTTATGGGCCTGAAATTGTACTTAAAACTGTAAAGAAAGAAAGCACTAGAACTCTTGGCAGGGTGCAGAATAGCTAGAGATTGGGAATGTCTGCATCCTATTAATGGTGTCATTGACCCTTTTCCAGAGGGTCTGCCGGCTCGGCAATCCGACTGTCATGTCTCCCTACCCTAGAACCTTGCTAATTCGTGCAGACGTGTCCCAGCTCTCGTACCGAGGTCTTGGAAGTTTAATAGCGGTGGAAAATTTAATTTCTTTGATTTACAGTGAATGAAGGCACTCCCACTAGCTCTTAGTACCCTGGTGCTGATTTAAAACGATGCTGCGTAACAGAACTGCTCCGGACCTCTTGTGAGCCACATCAAACCTAGTCAGACGTTTCCACTTCCATGGCTGCGATAAGGTCTTTAGTTGCTGAAACTCTCCAAACTTTAGGGACGTTTATCATGCTCGGATTATTGAAGCCAGACTACTGTCAGAATAAATAAAACATGTTTCCCAGTGCAACTCTAATTATGATTTTTAGCCAGTTGTGTAATGTGCAGAACTTTATTTACAATAAATCTTCCAGTTGCTTGCATAAATGAATGAGATTTCATCACTTGTGACTTAAGGACCAGGAAAAGTTAATGTGGCTGAATAAATTTACAGTCTAGGCTGGGTGTGTTGGCATGTCAGGCGAGTGAGGGAGCAGAGCCGGCTAGCATTGCCTTCCTAAGGGGGCTCAGCTATCTTGAATTTCACCTGGGAGCATGTATCTATCATATAGACATCTCTCCCTTCAAGTTATTTTTTTACGGAGACAGCTTAGATTCTGCTCTGCATTTTAATGGTGAGTAGGCACAGTATCATCCCACAGACTCCAGAAGTTTTGTTTCTTATTCCAAACTAATAACTGAGTTTCAGTTACTCAAGTTTGGCACTTTGCAGTTTAATATTTCAACTTCAGGGAGTTTCACGGAGAAGCTTTAGAATTTATTTGTGGGGCAGGCACAATTTCAGCTGCACCGACACTGAATGTTCCATAAGATGAACGCGAAATATGCTTTCTGCTTGGAAACAGCTGCTGGTTTAGCTGTGCAACCCGAAATTAGCCTCAGGTTGTAAGAAAAAGGGTCAAGATTCAGCAGAGAGCGATGGTGGGGGCCTGCAGGGGGGCAGCACCGGAGTAGTGTGTGCAGTTTGCAATGGAAAGTAGAAAAGCTGTTAGAGCAAAAGTTTTCGGAAGGTTTTATAAGCTGCAGAGAGCAAATCAAAGGTTCTTGGCTCTGTCCCTGAGGCTTTGCAGTTGCTATTTCACACCCAGCCCCCTGTCACGTAATTAGCTAGAACTAGTTTGTATGGCTTCTTAAAAAATGAAAATCTTTTTCGCTTGTTTATGCAGGCTACCAGCCAGTCTGCTTCTGGCTACACTGCTTTCTATCTGGAGCAATTCCTTTGAAGTCACTGGAGTTGCGCTACATTAACACTGGAGTACCTGGAGCAGAATTTATCCTTTTAGCCAAGTTTAATATTTTTGATGTATTATCTTCCGGTCACAATGCTTTGAAAAATGTACGAAAAAGTGGTTTACATATGGTTATCTGATGTTTGTAATCAGGCTGCTAATCTGTGTCTCCCTACAAAGTTTGCAATTACTAGCTTTAAATATATCCTTCCTTTTTTTGTGCTCACTGTGGCCCGGGGTCTCGTTTAAACATGTGATCCTCCTTACGGATGCAGATTTGCTCTTTGGCAGTATCAATACCTGCATTCAGTATTAGTGCCTTAAGGATAGTGGTTTACAACTGGATTTAGAAGGAATGTATGAATTTCACTGAGGTTTGGAAGAGAGAAATTTGCCCTGCGGTGCAGTTAGCGTGTCTGGACCTCGGTTTCGCATGCTTCGGGGTTCTCGCGTGATGAAAGCTTCCTGATGCCGAAAGCGAGGACTTGCTGTTTCTTAGGAAGAAAAGCGGAGCATACACCATGGAAGGGGGTCAGGTTTAGTCCTCTGATGAGCAGAGATGCTCTCCCCGCACAAGCATCTGGGTGTTTGCCCAGTTTGCCCTGGCTAGGGCAGTTGTCCCAGGCTACTTGCCGCAGCCTTCCTCTGCTTTCTCGGGGGCTGCGCCGTG